AGATGCTAAAATTCAAAAGAAACACATTTTTACCTTCGCTCCAATTTGGTTTCCGCACTGTCCGGCCTGAATGTGGACGATCTCACGCATTTTCTGAAAATATTAATTTTATAGGGGTTGTTTGAATTCGAAAAGCGAGCTGGCAAAAAACGAAGCCAAAGGAAGAATGAGACCATAAATGAAATCCCCACAAAAGGAGATGTTGGATGAGGGCGGGGCCATAAAGGACCGAGGTAGCGGATCCGGGTGTCGTTCTATTAGAGGTTTTACGGTATTTCAGTAGCAAATACAAATATATTGCTGATAATTGAGAATTCCAACACTTTTTTACTGGAATTTTTTCAAAAAATTTTGGTTTATAATTATAGGCTTGGGCTGAAACGCCTTGTTCACATCAGTGCCGGAAAAAAACGTTTTGGCCTAAGCCTAAAATACAATAAACGTAATATTTTGTGAAAAATTCCTGTCAAAAAGTACCGAAAGTCCCAAGTATAAGTAAAATGTTACATTTTCCATTGGATTTTTTAAAGACCATTCTGTTTTTTTTCTGTATTTCGGGAATAGGGTTTCCAGATTAAGCCTGTTTGGGACCGTTGTCGTACCCTTGGGACCGTTGTCGTACCCTTGGGACCGTTGTTGTACCATTGGGACCGTTATCGAAACGTTGGGACCGTTTTCGGGACATTGGGACCGTTGTCGAAACAATGGGACCGTTTTTACAATTCTTGGGACCAGTGTTCCGATAGTAAGCGATGTTTTAGCAGAGGGATCGATTGGGTAGAAACCAATTATGATACCCTTCTTGTCAGCAGGACAGTCGACCAACGCTCTGATTATATCTTCAAAGTTATGAAGAAATTTCAACTTGGAGGAATGAGCAGCAACAAAATTGGCTTCCACTGGAGCATTACACACCAAGGAAACGTGGACAACTAGGAAGACGAGGAGAAGTTTGAGAAACATTTTGCTGATGGAAATTGTAGTAAAGACGAGTGTGCTGATCATTTTTCATAATTTCGAAAAGGCCCAAAAATGTTTTTAAGTACCCGAAACCCCGCCTCAGAAAGGCCATTTTTCGAAAAAAAAACTCGTTGTGGCCTAGAATTTTCACTTTCCCCATCGTCAGTTTTCGCCCTTTTTGGTCATTTCTCATGGGTTCCTCTACAATTTTCTTACTTAAATAAGATGGAAAAAATGGAACAGCTAATAAATCACCGATTTCAGTAAGAAAAACCTGGGAAAACCCATACTAAATATTCGAAAACTTGAATAATTCACTTTTCTGAAACATGACCTCGTTGAAGCTGGTTTTCTGTCGCTTAGAAAAGTTTTTGAGCGTTTTTGTTAAGATTTTCAGAATCAGGACTGGCATTTATAGAATTCTGGACATTTGAAATGGATAGTGTAGATGACGGAGCACATAACTTCTAGCTGAGAACTGTCTTGCGGCCTAATTCCTATGCGAGCTGTGTGGAGAGCATGACAAAAAAGTTGAACACATTTGAGAGTGAAAGTGGACAAGGGTTTTGGGATTCCATAATAAATAGATCAGCTCCAACTTTTGCATTTTCCGCAAACACCGTCTTGCGCGAATCTCTCAGGACAGTGAGCTCGTTGTTGTGGGTCATATCTTTCAGACAAGATAACAACAACTGAATTCGTACAAAAATGTACTTATAATTGCACTGCGTCAATTTTCAGCCACAAATGCGCTAAATGAACTTTGATTGGGCTAAAACGAAAAAAATGGACGAACAACATTTGGATCTTGGGTTATTTTCACTACCACATGTTATGATAACGCGGATTTATCTTTTTTATTCAATATAAAGTCGATTCAAAACTGATTGAATGATAAAAACTTGTGCTGACAAAAAACACATTTGAACGTCGCGCTATGTTATTGTGTTATTGGGGCACACTTGCTGCATGAACTTCTTTTCCAAAAAGCCACGTTTCACTGATTTCTTGAGCTTCTCGCAATTTGCAAAGCTGACGAATATAAGATTTTTAATTACCGGAAGATGGAGATGCCTCCAGAGAGGGCAACCAAGCAGAGGGATCGCCAAAAAACATGACATTTCTTCCTGAAAGTCACTATAATTTATTCCGAACTGCAAACATCTGTCCAGTGACTCACTGCTCCCCATGCTTTCCTCAAAACGTTTCATCGATTTTTAAATCATTTTTACGGTTTCTTTCTTGTTTCTTTATCTTTCCTTTTGAATAATTCTTACATTTTACACGTTTATTGGCTGTAGAAACCCATAAAAAGCAAAAAATCCAAACTAGATTTAAATTTTTTTGGCATCATTTTTACAAGAAGATCATCATAACAATAATATGTAGCATTTATAGGTTTTACTTATATTTGTAGAATCCCTCTCCCGATTTGCGACCAGTCTTTCCAGCGTCGACGAGCGAGTCGAGAAGTGGACTTGGCTTGAAGGCGACCTCGTCTGGGTACTGCTTGTGCCAGCCGTCCATGATGAACTTGCAAGTGTCCAATCCAACGTAGTCGGAGAGCTCGAATGGTCCCATTGGGTATCCGGCTCCCAACTTCATGGCTACATCGATGTCTGGCATTGAGGCGTCACCACGTTCGTAAAGGCGCAGAGCCTCGAACATGTATGGGACCAGAAGGCGGTTGACGATGAATCCCGGAGTGTCCTGGAAACACAGAATTCGTTATGTTTTGGTCGACTCAGCGGTATTTGATTCGCTTTTGGGCACTTCAACCCTCTTTCGATAGCTATCATTGTGCTAGAAGCCACCACACCTCCATTTTTCTGATTTTTTGCGAACTACGTCAAAAATCAATATTATTGAACATATAGATGGTCAGTTCGTAACATTTTTCCAGTTGGAAAAGCAATCACAAGCCTTAAGGCTCGCAGGCGACACAGTTAGCCAAAGTCACCTCATCCAAATCATCAAATACTCACCTTGCACGCGACGGTGGTCTTTCCGACGGCCTTTCCGTACTCCATAAGCTTCTGGAAAGTGTCATCGGAAGTGTCGTTGTGACGAACAACCTCAAGAAGCTTCATCATGGGCACCGGATTGAAGAAATGGAGTCCTCCAAAACGAGTCTTGTCCTTGAGGTTCAGTCCAATGTCAGCCAAACGGAGCGACGAGGTGTTGGTGGTGATGAGTGTGGTTCTGTAAGAATAACGAGTTTTAGTAAGGTGTTTAACATCTTGTTGGAGTGTACGATAAAATTCAGTACGATAAAAGGCGTAGATTGAAACTCGAATGCTGCTCTAGCTTTTACGTTAGCTAATGAAGATTAGTGAGCTCCAGAGTCCTACTAGCAACTATTTTCAAGCGTGTTGTGCCACTTGAAACCGCTGCTCTTCATAATCCGGTTGTTGCTGTGCTGTTAGCTAAATGATAATTCTGGAGATGATCTTTAACGTGCAACCAGTTGCCTTCTATCATCAGTCTCTTCATGTTGACATGATCCATCATTTGAGGCTTCCAGGACTTCTGTTAGTGTTACCTAGCCCTGAAAGCTGAACGCATCTGATTCCTTAGCCAAAGTACGATCCAGTGCTAGCTTCTTTCCTAGATTCTGTACAAGGACTATGCACAGTGCTTCAGAATCGCCAATATTTTGCCATTTGTAGAGCCTGACGACTTTAAAGTCAGCCGACGCCTACCGAAGAGGCATATGATGCTCAATCCTTGCTGAATGATGTTCTAAACGTTCTGATGGCAAAACTTTCCCCACCCTGAATACTGATTCCGGCAAGATTCAGAGTTCAGCGTTGTCTAGCTTGTACGTCTAATTCTAGGACATTTTCGTTCCGTTACTTCCACACGCTGCAGTTCAATTTCACAACCTGAAATAATGAAAACTTACGGCTTAGCAGCAGCTTCGACCTCAGCGAACAGCTTTCTCTTAATATCGATGTTCTCGACGATGGCTTCAATAACCAAATCCGCATCCTTCACAGAGTCCGACACATTTGTTGACATCTTGATTCTGTCGAGAACGGAGCTGACGAGCGCTGTCTGGGCCTGTAAGATTTCTCCATTTCCAAATAATTCAACCAACTTTTTGGATGAAATGAAGGAATCTTACCTTTGCATCATCGGCGTGCTTCTTCTTAGCTACTCTCTGAAGACTTGACTCGATTCCCTTTTGTGCCTTGTCCAACGCCGATTGATTGCTGTCTACAACGACCACATTGAGCTTGGCGTTAGCGGAGACTTGAGCGATTCCAGATCCCATCAGTCCGGCACCAATGACGGTGACATTGTTGATCTTGGAGAGTTGTGCGGTGGTGGAGAGTCCACGAACGGCGGCGGTGCAAGTCGAACTGAGCATTCTGAAAACGAAGTATTTGAATTTCGTATTCTATGTATGAAAAGAACAGTAAGAAATTCTATTAAAAAAATGAGGATTTAGAAAAGAAATACTGCGCGTTGCCATTCTACGAATACACAACTGACGACTTGGGACCGCGCAAACGGTGTGGGCCATCTAATTATTTCAATCAATAGAGGGGGACAAAAACCGATTGTGTGTGTGTCTCCGGAGGACGGACTGCATGTAGGACGGGGGTCAACCACGTTGGCAGACGCTATCGTTCACCACGTTTCTCTCCGTCTCTTCACTCGACACACTCTCTGGCTACGTGTGTATCTGTCTTTTTGGACTTTGGTGGCTACACTGTACCTGTGTTGTGTAGGAAGAAGACAACAACAATGGGTTGAGATTGGGAGAGAGAGATAGTAGGGAAGAGACGCAGAGAGAGTAATGTGGTGGAGTGGCTGAACGTAACGAGCCGGTTGTTGAGCTAGAACTAAAGATATTGAATTCTGATATATGATTGGTCTGATAATGATAAGCGGTGGGGGCAAAGTCGAGAAACTGAAAAGAAGAAAAAAAATAGACAAATAAATAAAATTTATAGTTACAATAGGGAAGAAAGGTAATCATATTAAATCATATGTTTGTTGCTCAATTATTCAATTTTGATTTTTCAAAAAATGTTCTAATAGAAGCCCACTATATACGTGCACTTTGAGCCCAATTGTCTCGGTTGCTTCAAAAGATATCAAAATTTTGCCAATTAATAAAATGTTCATCATAATATGAACATTATTTTGTCACTTAACTATTCGATATCTCTCGCAGGTACCGAGATAATAGATCTTAAAGTGTACGTATAAGGTCCGCTTCTATTAGAACATTTACGGTATTTCTCGAATGGAATCAAAAACATACATACAAGATAAGCTTTTGAGTTTCGTAGATATCTTCAGGGTTTTTATTAGTCTATTAGTCCAACCATGTACAGGGACCGTGTTGAAATCATGTTTTGAATCAATTTTGTGAGTGTCAAGTTGTTTCTGGCTCAGAAAAAGTTGCCTTCTATAGTAATCGCCAAAAGTTTTTCACGTTTTTTTTCCAAGTTGCAAATGACCATGCAAATCCTTTAATCCGTGACCGTTTTTTTCTGGCAAGTTCTTTCTCAAATGAATCTTCCATTTGTCAGAACTTTCTTATTAGTTTTTGTAACAGTGAACTTGATTCCGAAAACTGATAAATTGTACAGTGTAAAATTGACGACGGATAGGTCAGTTGCCTGGGGCAGCTACCCTCCAACCCCTTCTAAAGGTTCCCTCTAACCACGCAACGACACTCCGCTATTCCGCTCGGCGCGCGCACAGTTTGAATTTAGTTTTGAGTGATTGCGAGCTTGGATTTGGCTCGTGGTTGTTCTAGGGACTCTTTTAAGGAATTCAAGTGAGTTTGTTTCAATTCTAAGCTTTTATTTGGTGTTTCTTTCTAAATTGTTCATAATAAACCGATTTTGTTACATTTCTTGTTGATTTTTTTCTATTTTATCACAGGAACCTGATACCCCGGACATAGTACGGGCAATTGGTCTCATTTCACTTATTGAATTTCTCTCCATTATTTGAATGATAGGTTACTGTCTTCTTTTGAATGAAACAGTTTTCTCTATTTTCCATTGAAATCCATTTTTGAACAAATCCGTATGGTTAATGTTTAAGTCTAAAAGAAAATATTTTTTTCGTTTACTCACATGAACCTTAAAATCCCAAGTACCCTCTGAATCAATGTACCCTAAAACTCAATATCTCCTTTTGATACATCTTCGGCTACAGTGCAGTACTTTCTAGATTGCGCAATCTCCCATTGGTGTGAGGAACACCTGAATTAGGTCGACAACTGCTCATCACTCCGGAGCGTTTCTCTCCGTCTCCCACTCTCTTCATATAACCGCAGATATCCATATTAAAAGGCGTCAAATTACTTATTATGATGCATTGCTCGTAATGTCGTTGACACAGTCCTGTCGATTTCCTCATTTCTTTCCGCTACCATCTACGTTCATCGATACGTTCCAGAAACAGAGACAAACTGTGTTGACTGTTTTCAAGTTTAAAACCAACTCTCTTACATTCTTATACTTTACTTTTTTGCTCTACCTCCAATGTTCTAACTTAATCACAATTAGCTTTTCCAGACAACAAAACCACCGAAAACATGGATTCCGATAATGATGATGTTCAGCTGAACGACTCGACAAAGAAAGGAAAATTTCCGACAAAGGAAGATCGAGAGGTGGAGATAGTAGGAAGATTCCTCAAGAAGAAAGAGCCTCATTTGGAAGGATTCGTTTGTTACCTTAGAAACTGCTCATTCGGTAGGGCCACGACACACCTATTATTACACGATTTCGATACAAATTCACTGCCTCATGGTAAACATATTAGTTAGAATTTCCCGTGGAGGATGGTCAACCTTGATATCCTGAAAAAATATTAGGTTGGAAGGAAAGTAACTGTCCATTGCTTCATTGGAAAATAATTCGAAAACGAGTTCAACACAAGATTAGCAGTATGCACCCTCGTGGTCCACAACATGTTGCCAACATTCAGGTAACTTGTGCATACCCCTCCAATCGCAAGCTGACATCGAATAGAATTATTCATTTTTCCCAGTTTTTTTCTCGTCAACATTGTGAATTTCCTTTCCCTCCAGGTGGCGTGTATATCTCCGAATAACCGATAATCTGAAAAAGGCACAGATTATAAAAAGGTGCGGGAGCATGAAAGTCATGTCGTACCTGAGACGCTTTGGCTGGACTGTTCTCCTTTACTCCGTTAAAGCATACTTGCAACAAGCCGGGCCGGG